TTAAAGAGCTGCAACAAGTATGCAACACGTTCCTGTATTTTCTTAACTGACATTCATTCCCATTGAACACAGTGGGGCAGTGACCTAAGTCTCCCTTCCTCCCTCCCTCCCTAAAGAGGTTGTTTGTGGCAGAAGAATCAAGGAAACTCAAATGCCCCCAGCCTGATGGGGATGAACTGACCGGCATGGAGAAAGCTATCGGAAATATTTCAGGTCTGGTGCTGCTCATGGGACTGTCCCAAGTGGAGAAAGCAGTAAATAAAAGCCAACCACAGATAATTTAAGAATTTGGAAAGTATTATTAAGCCCTGCCTCACATCCTGACAGTAAGAAATCTTTAGTGACAGATTTTAGGCTGCCATCTTCTGATACACCCTTGGGGGAGAATGTCATGGGACACTTCCAAGAAAACCCTGCAAGAGGCTGTACTGTCAGTTTCCTTTAGGTGTGTGTGGGGGAGAAAGAGACTTGTATTGGTTTTGTGTTTATTTTATTTATCAACTAACCCATGAACCTGACTTTGCAGGAGTTGGAGTAGCCCTTTGCTTGATGCTTCAGGACAAATAACACTGCCAATCCTCACTATGACAACTACCTACAACTACTTACTACTACTCTTATAGCTTACTTACTACTCTTACTTCCCTTATACAAATCTTTGGTGTGACTGTGCTTGGAATATCGTATTCAATTCTGGTCATCGTACCTAAAAAAGGACATAACTGAGTTGGGAAAAATACAGAGAAGGGTAACAAATAGAATCTGGGGGCTGAAGCAGCTCCCCTATGCGGATTGGCTGCAACAACTGGAATTGTTCAGCTTAAAAAGAGCCAAGGAAGGAAGGAGATGATAGAGATGTTTAAAATGATGCATGGTGTGGAGAAACTAGAGGGGGAAACATTTTTCTCCCTCTCCCACACTTGACCCCAAAGAGGTTATCCTATGAAGCTGATTGGTGGGAGGTGTAGGGCAGATAAAAGGAAGGACTTCTTTATAAAGCATATAATTAAACTATGGAATGTGTTGCCAAGGGATGTGGGGATGGCCACATCTGGATGGCTTTAAAGGGGGATTGCAGATTCATGAGAGAGGAGTGGGTACTAGCTTTGCTGATTGTATGCGACCTCCCTTGTCAGAGGTGCCTTGTCTGCATACACCAGCTGCTGAGAAGCTCGGGCAGAAGAAAATCTTGCATCCATCCTGCTTGAGGGATCCTGTGGGCAGCTAGTTTGTCACTGTTTGTATGGAGTGCTGCACTAGATGAACTTTTGGTCTAATCCAGAATGGATTGTCTGACATTCTTTAACTTACAGAGCTGTCAAAACAGAACACTTTGTCCAAGACTGAGTGAAGCAAAGCCTGCTGGCATTCCAAGGGAGGGCTTCTATTCCATTATTCTCCCAAGTGGGGGGGCTGCCCCACACCATGAATGAAGCTAACATATAACTCTCTCTGGGCCAACTAATCATGCTTTCAAACTGTATAGACTATATATTGATTAGGAAAGTCTTTCCTTAGGGGCTGAGGATGTCACTGCAAACTTCAACCACATGACCATATTTACATTGAAAAATGGAGCTGTATTAACTGACTCAGGCTCCTCACAAGAGGAAAAAAGGCATGAAATAAATAGAATGCAATGTAATAATAATATTGATGCCTTGAAAGAACAAAATTATCCTGGGCTGCTCACCCATAGGTTATCCTTAGAAAACATACCAAGTTTTAAGTGACTAGGTTCCACAGTTTTGGCACTATGGTGCTGAAAGATGAACAGACATCCTCCTGTACTATTATACAAAGGTTCTTCAAAAAGTTTCTGCATGGGTTCCAAGAAAGCTTGGGCAGTTATAAATGTATTAGTCTTTTAAGGTGTCACAGGACACTTTTTTTAAAAGTCTTATTTGTTTTAAGAAAAGGCAATAGAGGAAAAAAAGGAGTCTGTAAGAAGAAAAAGAAGGGAAAAGAGGGGGGAGCAAAGGGTCATTGTAAGGATTTAACAAGCAACTCCTCATTTAAGCACATTTATGATGGACAAAAGTCTCGATCAACCACCACTTTCTCACCCATTCAATTTTCAATCATTATATTTATGGTTGTAAATCTCAACATTGTTTAGATAGTAATCACAGACTTTTGTATAAATTACGTTTTCCTTAACCATTTTTAAATGGTTCAAAGCAGTTCTTCCATCTTTGAGAAAATTTTTTAACTGGTCTTCTGTCAGTTTTGCCTTTGCTACATACTTGGCGAGGTTGTTTTTCCAGTCTTCAACAGCTAAGGTATCTTCTGCTTTCCACTTTGAGGGAATTATCACTCTTGCTGCAGTATATATTTGTATAGTTCTGACATAACCATAACCATTGGAATAGTCTCTGGGACAATATTCAGTAACATGTTCTTGGTGTTGATTGGAAAGTCAGTTTTGAATATTTTTGCATATCAGCTTGTACCTGCTTCCCGATTTTGGGAAGAGTACGTCCCACCACTTGCCTATTGGATCCTTGCCCGTCTTGGTTAATAAATAACTCCAAGCACGGGATTGGGACCTGGATCTTGGAAGTGGTTAACGCTTCTCTGAGGGAGGGTCGAGTGCCTGCCCCTTTAAAGGAGGCGGTAATACGACCGGTCCTGAAGAAAGCGTCACTGGATCCAGAGATGGCCACTAACTATAGACCTGTGGCCAACATCCCGTTTCTGGGCAAGGTGTTGGAGCGAGTGGTGGCGGGACAACTCCAAGCACTCTTGGATGAAACTGATTATCTGGATCCTTTTCAGTCCGGCTTCAGACCTGGGTACAGTACTGAATCTGCCTTGGTCACCCTGTACGACGACCTGTGCAGGGAGAAGGACAGGGGGAGTACATCCCTGTTGGTTCTTCTGGACCTCTCGGCGGCTTTCGATACCATCGACCATGGTATCCTTCTGGATAGACTTGCGGGATTGGGGGTTGGAGGCACTGCTTTGCAGTGGTTCCGCTCCTATCTCAACGGTCGATTCCAGAAGGTAGTGCTGGGGGACCATGTCTCTACGTCATGGCAGCTATGCCATGGAGTACCACAGGGCTCCATTCTATCCCCTCTGCTATTTAACATCTATATGAAACCGCTGGGAGAGGTCATCAGGAGGTGTGGGCTGCGGAATCATCAATACGCTGATGATACCCAGCTTTACCTCTCGTTCTCCACTAATCCAGGTGAGGCAGTGGCTGTGCTGAACCGGTGCTTGGCCGAGGTAAGGGAATGGATGAGGGCCAATAAACTGAAACTCATCCCAGACAAGACGGAGGTCCTGTTGGTTGGCGGATCGGGTTTCGGAGAGGATGGATTTGACCTGGTCCTGAATGGTGCAACACTCCCTCTTAGGGATAAGGTCCGCAGCTTAGCAGTACTCCTCGACCCGGAGCTTTCTTTGGAAGCTCAGGTGACAGCGGTAGCGAGGAACGCCTTCCTTCAGCTTCGGCTGATTAATCAGCTGCGCCCCTACCTGGAGTACGACTGCCTGGCGACGGTGACACACGCGCTGGTGACTTCCCGCCTAGACTTCTGTAACGCGCTTTACGTGGGGCTTCCCCTGAAGACAGTCCGAACACTTCAATTGGTGCAAAATAGAGCTGCCAGGTTGCTGACGGGGACGGGGCGTAATGCTCACATGACTCCAGTCCTCCGTCAGCTTCACTGGCTTCCCATTGAAGCCCGGGCCCAATTCAAGGTGTTGATTATGACCTATAAAGCCCTAAACGGCTTGGGTCCTGGCTACCTGAACGAGCGCTTATGTCCGTATATGCCCGACCGCCCTTTGAGATCTGCGGGAGAGTCCCTTCTCCGGGAACCCTCCATGAAAGAAATTAGGAGAGTAAGTACTCGGAGGAGGGCTTTCTCTGCGGTGGCGCCCAACCTATGGAATTCACTCCCCAAAGAGGTCTGCCTGTTACTGGTTTTTCAGCGCCAGGTAAAGACCTTTTTATTTAAACATCATTTCAATTGTTAAAACATATGATCTGGCCAGGGCAACTTCTTCTTCCTTCTCTTTCTCCTCCTATATTTTTATTTTATACCGATAATTTTAATTTTATATTTGTAAATCAATGTATTTTTTGTATTTTTGTATTTAATGGTAATTTATTATGTACTATTGTATTTCAATGTATGTTATCATGTTGTAAGCCGCCCCGAGGTTTCGGCAAGGGGCGGCATAGAAATGTTATAATAATAATAATAATTATTATTATTATTTTTCAATTATATCACATGTCCACTACATATGACAAAATGTTCCATCTATCTCTTTGCATTTCCAACTTTTTCCATTATAGTTCTTGTCAATTTTCTGTATATTTTTCAGGGTAATATACCACCAAAAATGTATCTTATACCAGTTTTCTCTGAGAGCTTGACATGTGGTGAATTTTATGTCTTTCATGTATAAGATTTCCCATTGGTGGGCCAGTATTTCTTCTTGAAGATTCTACTCTTCCAGCTCTTCATGCATATTTTGTCTTGCTGAGTCTCAGTATCATATTAAAGCAATTGTTTATAAATACATCCTAGAAGGTGTCACAAGATGCTTTTGTTGTTAAAACTTCAATGGAACTTATGGAGTGTATTTAGGATTGTAACAATATTCTTGGTGATAAATTTTGTGATAGCCTTGTATTGATACTTATTATTTTCTGCTGCATTGTTTTGCATAGTTTTCATTTGGACACCAGCTTGTAGTTGTTCAAATTTAAAAAGATTAAAATTAAATTTTGATAAATAACAATGCAACATGTTAAGTCAGAAGTAAGTTGACCCACACCTGGCTTACTCCCCGGTAGCTACCTGTTCTGTACCAATAGAGGATTGTGTTATTTTGTGATTTTGTTCACCAAGCACCAAGGATAATTGCTCTGCTTATTCGCTCGGTATCTGTTAGCAACTGATAAGGCCTTAATGCGATGCATTGATTAGCTGTGCCTAGGAAGAATTTCCACTCATTTTGCAACTGCTGTGCCTGTTTGGAATTATCTTCCCCCTTCCCCACTAGCTTTTCTGCACTTCTTTAACTTGCAACGGTAAGGCCCGCCTTGCATGGTGTTCTTACCTCATCTATTCATCAGTATCAATTATTATTGTGCATGTCGGGCTTCATAAAGATGAAGTTTGAGTTACGTAGGAGTGTATTGCATCTGAGTTTAACTGCCGGGAAAGACACAATCCCACGTAAGTGCAGGCCGGAAGAGTGCCTGGGTTCACTGCCTAACTGCAACACCACCGTCTCAAAGCGTGTACGTACTTCTTTCCAGTTCGTGCCGTTACCGTGCAAGCACAGTGCTATGCACACGTGTGCGCGCGCACATGGTTTGTGGGGCCAGGGGAGAGCTTAACACCGCGTCTGCGGAGGATGGAGGAAATTGATCCATGAAACTCGCAAAGTCACACGCTATATTTTGCGTTTTGTAGCAAGTTTGTAATACCGTTGCTGTAAAATAAAAGGAATACGTTACTATCGGCTTTCCTTTCTACGTTATTGTACAGCCCTCTTCTTAGGAAAAATTCCCCGCTTTCTTCCCTAACAAATTCGCTTTGAACACCAAAGACACCACGTAGAAGCGGGACGTTCTGGCACTGCGCTGAAATCGAACGCGGCAGGCGGGGAGAGACCATCAATATCGCACGCTCATTGGTCCAGTTCGGCAAATGGATCAACCTCGGAGGCGGAGTTTCATTGTCCAGCTCAGGCGCTCATAGGTGCGCTTGATCTGTTTCGCGGCGGTGTTGCATAGATCTACGTCTGACCGCTCGAGCAACGGGATCTTGAGCGAGCGTTCCTAAGGTAACGGGAGACTACATGCGAAAAAGAAAAATAAGAGGGCTTTTTGAGAAAAAGGGGGAAATGCGGGCATATGCAGAGTAGAAGCGTAGGGCAGGATTAGAAGAAACCGCGCTTTATTTTAAAGCATTGTATTCATCATAGCATTATAGGGAAGTGTAGCATCATGCCTTGCAGCCCAGTCCTGTAGCAGATTTACTTAGAAGTACGTACCTCATATATCGGTCGGAGTTCTAGAAAAAGCCAGTGGCTGTTAGGTTTAATTGTATAGTTCAAGGTTTAGTCCATTGTGCAGCTGGATGCATTTTGTGTTGATGTGTAAAATGCACAAAGGAAATTAAGCCATTGGGAAAATAAACTTTAATCTTGCTATAGTTTCCCCAGGAAAAGGCTGGGAGGCGTTCATGCATCGGGGCTGTGTCAAACTCTTGTGCCTTCAATCACTGAACGATAAAAATGGGTTATTTGCAGCTGCAAGGTTGAAGCCCACCCATCAGTCAGCTCCGTTGAACTAATGAGTGCATACACAAAGAATTGCATTTATTAGTTGTGTCAGTCTTGCAGGCCTAAACAATCTTTACTGCTGGTGGCTGCGTGGTTCAACCTGTAGCGTTAAGCATCTTTCTTGGATACCATTTTTAACCAAAAAACCCCCCACCTAGTTAAAGGCAGTCCTGTGCATGCTTAGACAGAAATAAATTGTAACTCCCAACAACCTTCTGGCAAACATGGCAGCCTGGGGGATGGTGGGAGTTGTGGTATTCATGTCTTTCTAAACATGCATGGATTGTACCTTAAATAAAATATCATAAAACTCCTGAATAGGTGAGGCAGCACAAGTACAGGCTGGGTAGCTGAGACAACACAGATGTATGACTTAGCAAGCTTTGATAAGTGGCTAGTGCTTGGCACTAACTTTCTAATTTTAAGAAACTTTGGAACAACAGACACTTGGTTAGTTTTCCCTAGTGCACACTGGGGCACTGAATGGAGGAGTACGATGGGTAAGACCTGCAGTTGCTGCAAGCATCTTTTATCCTCCTAGGCTTAAAACTGGGCAAGGACACCCCCCCCCCAAACTTGTCGTTCTATTTGTATTAGCTGGACATTGCCTGTTTCAGTTAAAAAAATATTTTCTTGCTAAAAATAAAGCCTTAAGGAGAACAAAATTCCATGTTCTTTCTCTCAAAAGGATCTTGTTGAGAGCATTACAAAAACGGAAGCTCATCAGCGACCTGGTTTCTTTGAGAAAATTATTCTGGGAGCTTTGGAAGGAAAAAATGGCTGGTAAGTTAGGTTTGTTCCCCTTGGTTATCAGAATGCTCTCGGGATAGAGAGCAAGATTCTCAAAGCCTCTCCCTGACAACCCATGTGTATTGCAACTACACATTACAACAGATAATCTTAGTGACAATCCTGTGGCTTCCTGAGCCATAGGATAAAACAGGCCCCCACTGACTCTGAAGTGTCTTCTGAAATCACTGCTGGGATTCCTTCTCCCTTGCAGCTGCTGCAATTCTTCCTGCGCTGCCTGAAATCTGGGCATTTTGGGGGAGAGCAAGGCACTGCTATCCTCCGAAGAATCCTGGTGATGAATCTGCCTCTCCTCTTAGGAGCAGGGGGGAAAGATTTAGGTGGCCAAATACAGATGTCTGAAAGGATAGGGCAGGGGTCGGCAACCTTTAACACTCACAGACCCATTTGGACCCACTTTCCACAGAAAATAAAACACCGGGAGCAGCAAAACCCTTTTGACATCTAAAATGAAGATAACACTGCATATATTTTTACCTTTATGCTATGTATAAAAAAATTATAGTGTGTTGCATTTATGAAATCAATGAACTGCTACAAAGAAAACAATTTTTTTGTTTCTGCATGCAACAAAAACATTTTGAACTCTGAAAAAAAAGACACTGGGTTGAAGGTTGAAGGTTTCTTTAAAATAAAATACAAGAGAGGGATTCAAGAGCCACGTGCGGCTCTGGAGCCACAGGTTGCCGACCCCTGGGATAGGGGAACATGGAGGATTCCTTGCTCCTCCCACCTTCCATTGGATGCTGGAGTTCAGAGGGTTACAGGGAGCCATCCTGGGTGGCACCCTTATTTGTTTAATATAGAGAACCATTGGAGTCCAGTGGTAAGAGTGGACTTTCCCAGTCCAGAGATGGCCACATGTATTAGACTGGAATAATGGAATCACATTGGAAAGGCAAAAGGTTGGAGAGGCTTGGGGTAGTTTGTTGAACTGGGCAGTCCAGTTCAAATCTTCAGTTGGCTATGAAACTGACAGAGTAAGCTGGGCAAGTCACTGTCTCTCACTGCTCTAGCCCAAAGGTTTGTGTTACGGCAGTAAAATGGGTGGGAGAACCATCTGCCTTGAGCTCATTGGAGGAAGGGTAGTTTTTACATAAAATTAATTCATTAATTAAAACTGTCCATATTTTACTTTGAAGAAAAAGCAGTTGTGAAGAGGGGGTTGCTGAACTGGATCAGGGCCCTATACTAATTTCCTGTAGAAAATCACCCCCATCCCAAATCCCAGAATCTGTTTGCCCAGCCAGGTGCTATTTGCCCATAAATGTGCTTTGTGAAGCTTTGTTTTCTTTCCTCTCTTTTTAACCTCAGGGAAAAAAGTGTTAATCATCTATGCCCATCAAGAGCCCAAGTCAATGAATGGGTCTTTAAAAACCATTGCAGTGGAAGAACTGACTAAGCAAGGCTGCAGTGTTACTGTTTCTGACCTATATGAAATGCAGTTTGAACCTCGAACAACAAGGAAGGATATAGTTGGTAAATCTAGAATATGCTATATTTATTTTAGTATTTGTAACAAAGAAGCCTCTGGCACTCTAAAAGTCCATTCATTTTATTGCTTCATACCACTCTGTCCATTGGATCTGGAAAAGAACATGGTTTTGGTCTGCACAATGCTATGTCACAATAAAGTCTCTTAACAGGAGATCTCTCTCTACTAGCAGATTTCTGGATAATTTTGACTAAGCCAGCATCAAGTCCTGATTTCCAGTGGGTGAGCAACACAATAACAAAACAAAATAAATCTACCTACCCTCTTTCAACCTAATATATATGATGCAGAAAAAAAGAGAATATGTGCTGCCCAGGAGTCCATTTATCTGAGCGCCATTCACTTCTGCTATTCAAAATGAATCATTGAGGCTAAGAACTGTCTTTTGTACCAGACTCTGCTTGCTGAATTTTGGGGTTCTAGGTGGGTTTTTTTTAAGCCAATTGTTTGTCTTGGTTTAATACTGATCAGCTCGGCTGATCATATGCAAAGTTGACTATGAATGAAAATGTCAGAGGCATAGCTTTTCTCAGTTCTGCACAATTAAGTGAACCGGCCAAAGTTCCTTCTTTTTGCAATGAGCATGGGCATAGCTACAGTTCAGTCTAAACGTGACAGTAATGCTCACCAGAGAACCTGCTGGAATTAAGTGTCCTAAATCTGGGGTGGATGGGTTTGGGGGGCATTTTCTATTCCTGGACATTCCCCCCTCCAGTTATTCCTGATGCGATCACACCACACCAGCAAAAAAACTTTGCTATTTCTGCAGTAAACTGTGGAAAAGGGACACATTTGTTTTGAAGCTAAACTTCCCCTTTTACCCTCCATTGTGCTTTGCTGTTGGAACCTGGTGGCAAGTCGCACATTGCTTGACTAACCTGGTGGTGGTGGTAGTATCAGTAAAGGCCTGTGTGGTTACAAGGGGATAACAGCTGACACATATCGTCCACCCCAGCCTAAATAAGCAGCTCTATCTGTTTGGATGCAAGCTTGTTCATATGATGTGTTCTGTATTTGGTTTCTCCCGCAGGCAATTTACATAACCCAGAAGAGTTTAATTATGGAGTCGAGGCCTGGGAAGCTTGCAAACATGGGTGCCTCTCTGAAGATTTGATTGAGGAGCAGAGGAAAGTAAAAGAGGCTGACTTGGTGATATTCCAGGTCATTATTTTTTTAAAAACAAACCTCATGAGATCTTCCACCTGTACCATAAAGATGCCAGATAGGACTGGTACCTGGCATTCAGCAGTGGCTCAGCCTGCTTGGCCAACACTTTGGGTTGGGGACTTTAAAAGGATCTGTGCAATCCCTTTGTTAGGCAACCAACCAGAGACCTTCCTGTAACAGATGCAGGTGGAAAGCTATACCTCCACCTCCCATTACACCTGGATAGGTTCCATGTTGGTATAGATGCCAAAGTTGCTGTGCTTATAATCCAGCCACTCAGACTAATCTTTCGATTTCAATATGTGCACAAAATTCTTACATACATTTCATTACAAAGTGTATCATACAGATCCAGATCTATAACACATGAAGGCTAATGAACAATACATCTCACCAAATGATCCAGCACCTTAAAAGTTACACCTGTGATGCTGGAAAGAAGGGCAGTTCTGTATGCCTATTAGATCTGAATGGTTTAATTATGATACTTGTGTGTGCATTTGCTGGTTGTATTTCCATCTGTTGTCCTCATTTTGTTTTGCTCAGAATAGTTTTTAGTAGGAAAGGGGGGTTTCTATAAGATAGGAATATGGTTAAGGGAGATTAAACTAAACAGTGGGAGTCAAACTGTAGAATTTGCTATTGCAAGCAGTAGTGATGACTCTTCAAAAACAGATTGGGCCAATTCAAGGAAGATATGTTCCTAAAGGGCTACCAGGCTTGATGGCTAGATGCTGCCTCCAGTATCCTAAGCAGTATATCTAGGAGGGCCTTTGCTGGGGAACATGGGTGAGAGATGCTGTTCTACCCATGTCCTGCTTGTGGGGGCTTGGGCAGCTGGTCGGTCACTGGACCGGATAGACCTTTGGTCTGATCCAGCAGGGCTCTTATGTTCTGATGTGGCTTCTGACAACAGATCTTTGGGCAGTGTTAGATAAATGAGCTTACATTTTTGCACAACTGGCACATCTGCGCCTTACAGTCCGTACAATCCTTGTGTTGCTAATTAAAGTGCACTAGGAAGAACAGCATAGGAAGCGCGGCCCTTTGTGAGGCAACTTGTGCCATGTGAGGTCCAGACCTTGATCTGTTTATCATTTCATACTACATTTATGCCCTGCATTTTTTCCTCATGCAAAGAACCCAAGATGGCTTGCATGGGCTTCCTCTTCTCTATGTTATCCTCACAACAACCTGTGCAGTACACTTAGGCTGCGAGTCAGTGACTGAGCTTCCTGATCAAGCCCTGACCAGTTCTAACACTCAGCTACACCATGCTGGTTCTCTTATGGTAGCACACATCTCTTATTTGAGATATTTCCTGCTTGTTTCGATAGAGGAGGAAGTGATGGGTGGAAGTGTCCTTAAAGCCAAAGTTGGTATCACTTCTGTTTTTATCCAGTTTCCTTTATATTGGTTCAGCATGCCAGCAATCATGAAAGGCTGGATGGACCGAGTCTTGGTCCAAGGATTTGCACATGATTTCCCAAAATGTTTCGACTCTGGTCTACTCAAGGTACGTATTCTGCGAAATCTGGCAAATTGTCTGACTCCTATTGTAACCTGTTTTGTACTCATACTCAGTTTGAAAGCTGCAGCCTTTTATGCATACTTCTCCTGAATAAGCCTCAAAGAAGCCAGGGCAAATTTCTTCCTCAGGTACAATCAGGCAATATAGATTTTTAGCATGCTCTGTCCCTAAAGCTCTGGACAGATTTTCTTCTCTTATATATCCATGAATTTCAGGGGGTGGTGAGAGCCATACCAGGCAGCTAGATGCAGCCCACCCCTGCCCTAAAAGGTAGCCCATAAATATTTAAATACATAAAATACCTTTTCTCATGTGATTCCAGAATAAATTGGCCTTACTTTCATTTACCACTGGAGGAGACAAGGGGATGTATTCAAAAGGGGGTGCCAGTGGCGATATCCGTTATCTTCTGTGGCCTATGCAGGTAATATGGATAAACTATGTGGCACTTCAATCAGAAGAGTTCTTCTTAATTCAAGTCATATTTCTGATTACTATGCACTGATACAGCTTGTCTTTGACCATGTTAGCCACTCAGCAGTGGCTGCAATGCCATCCCATGGGGAAGTTGTTAGAACACAACTGTATGCATGATTGTAATATCATACTAGCAGGATGGGACTTTCCCATTCCCTGTTTCTACCTGCAGCCCTCCACACTGCCTGGTTTTCCAAGGGCTTCCCAGACTTTTTCGAGTCTTTTGGTTTCTCTGAAAAATGTGTTGAAAGCAAATTCCATGGCAAGCTTGGAGGGAAATTGCCTGGTCTGCTCCAATGGGTCAGAACCAAGGCTTCAATGACCCTGAGGGTATGAAAGGGGCTTCCACGGGAGGTGGTTAAGCCCCATCGGTGAGGGTGTTCAAGGATAGGCGGGACATGCACGTGGTAGGAATGCTGTGAGTGGGGCTGGCTAGAGCCAGGGGTCAGACTAGCTGGCCCAGGAGACCCCTTCTGACTTTCTCTGTTTCTATGATTCCTTCTGCACAAAAGCAGAGGTGCCACTGGCCTCACCTCCCACCCACTGATATATGCTGCTTTTTATTTTTTGTTTTCATTGCATTTTGGACAACACCCTGTGATGCAATGATGAGATGAGAATGATTTAACTATTTAAAACAATTATTTAATATTTAAATAATAAACATCTAGCAGCATATGAGTGACACAGAAGCTATGCCTATGGGATAGCTGTTGCACAGCTATTTGGGACACAGGTGTTCCCCCTTTAGTGAACGCCTCCATAGTCCTAGCTTATGTATATTTTTCCCCATTTTATAAGCTGGTTGTTTCATCAGCACCCGCCACCCACCCCAGAGTTACCACTTACTCATCCTCATACTTTATGTTTTGATATTTTTTTAGTACAGAGAGCATGCAAACTCAACTGTAGCTCTCTCCCTCTCTCTCTCTCCTCTTTCTCTCTGAGTCCAGCATGGAATTTTGCATTTCTGCGGCTTCAGCATCCTCACCCCACAGATCTGCTATGCACCAGAATCCATGACAGAGGATGAGAGAGTGCAGATACTGTCTTCGTGGATGAAACGGCTGAGGACCATCTGGGAGGAGAAACCAATAAAGTGCACTCCGGAGTGGTACTATCAGTAACACTTGAGCAGAAATGTCAAGAGATGCAAATATTCCTGCCCACCTCATACACATCATTTTTCCTCTTCTGCTTTCCTTCGACTTCATTATCATCCCTGCTCATTGTTGCATGAAAAAAATGAGTCTCAGATAATGGTTTCTGTATAAGCCATTCCTTGTTTAGGAAAACTCATTTCCCTGACTTCAGGACTATGGCAAAGAAAAAAGAGAAAGAAAAATCAAAACTTCAGTGACAAAGAAAACAGTATTTTTGGTGCTGTGAAGTATGCTTGCAGCATTGTTTCTTGACTTCGGAGTTTCTCTTGACAATCTGTGGGCTAAAGTACCAAAAGGGGTCAGAATAGATCCAAACAGAGGGTTTTTATCTTTTTCCTGCAGCTTCTGCTAAAGGAATATCCTTTTTGGTTAGTGTTTGGTTTTGTGCTTCCATATGAGTTGTTGGCACACAAGAATTGCTCATGGACTATTCTTCAATATAAGAAGAATATCAATACTATTCTTCAATAAAAGTATCAAACCTGTGTCCTAGACATTATCGAGCTCTTACTAGGCAGGCGTCTGGCTCTACGGCCTTCTTATTGCTCGTTCCTAGGCTCTGGATCTCGCTGCTGACAGAGGCTGAGCTGGCACAAGATTGGGGAAACCAAATCCAACCCTCTTTTAATTGAAAGTTCCATTCTTTTCAAATATCTTTGTGATGGAATGGAACCACTTAGAAATGAAACAAAAAAGTACTAAGTTTTTGAAAATATTTTCAGCCATAAAGCATAATCCCATGTCAAACATACAATGTTCATCTTAAGTGTATTTACTTTGCTCCACTTTGGCTCAAATACAAAGATGCTCATCTGCCTGCAGCATGCAATGTCATTCAGTACCATTCACTCAGAAACTCATCCAATCCTGGTGATTTATAAATATTCATGTTAGCTATTTCCTGAAAGCTTAAGGGAACAAAAAAACCCCCTGCAACTGGAAGGAAACTAAGCATGGAAGACTAACAAATTTATATTTTTATGTGATGTATACATCTTTAATAGCTGTAAGAACTTGTGCTTTTGTTGCTTAAGGCAATGAGCCAAAATCTTACTAGAATATTCACCATTTTTCCCAGTGTGTCAAAGTAGATTCTGTCTGCTGTGATAATATATTATTCAGCTCACACTTAAGCTGCATGTCCTGATAAAGTTGTATTGTTGGGGAGATGATAAATTGGGTTATAAGAGATTTCAGCTCCTCTCTTGAAAGCTTGTTGGATTTTGTTGTTCTTGGTTTTTATACTAAGCATAGGTAATTTTACAGGCCCCATTAAGATTGTAGTAGCCTTGTATTCAGTGGTACAAGAGTATATAGTACCCTTATCATTTTTAAAATACTCAGCAGATACAAGCTTTTGAACAGCTCATTATTAAGCAAAGACACATTAAAATGCCAGAGACTGGAAGGCTTTAACTAATCTAAATGCCACTCCAAACAGACCAAGGCATGATCTGACACTATTGTATTGCCCACTTTAATTAAATATATCAAAGGATGCAGAACCAGAAATAGTCTAACAAAAGCAAATAAGATGAACAGATGAAATAAATGAATTTTCCCAGGTGCAGAATTCTTTAAGGCTACTTAAGTCACAAAGTGTGACTCTCAGCTTGGCCTGCCTTTTGGGGCCTGGGAATCTATCTAAGAATCCAAGATTTCATTAAAATCCCTACCCACAAAAAGGGAGATCATCAGGATCAGAAATGGTCTGCTGGACTGAAAACAGGAGTCTTTTATGAATTGATATCACTATTGCTTTTTAAAGAGTCAAGGTGTATGCAGCTTAAGTCTCTCCAACCCAGTTTCTTTACAGCAATGAAAATCTGCAGCTGTAGATGTGCTCTTTTTACAGGAAACCAATCAGCATTATACTCTTTTAAGTGGGAGAGGATTTTCTTTGGCTTATTTGATTTCCTTTGACTTTCTCTGAAGGCATGGTAAACATGGAAAAATATATTCTTAGCCCCTTCATGCATAGAACTTTTACCAATTTTGCAAGTGGCACTTAAATTCAGACAAGTCTTGACATCCATATTAAATGTAATACATGTCAATGCAAAAGCATCAACTACCGTATTTTTCGCTCTATAAGACGCACCTGACCATAAGAAGCACCTAGTTTTTAGAGGAGGGATCCATGGAAAGCTTCCTGATAATCACAGGCACATTCCCCATCACTTCCCCATGGGCTTCATTAAAAGACAAGTTGCCATTCGAAAACACACACCGACTTGTGATTAACAGTTCTCACCTGCGCTGGAGGAGGGGGGCAGAGCAGGGCGCACCGAGCGCGTGCCAGCCAGGTGTGGTGCAGCTGGGCCGGCAGCGTGCCGGCGGCGGTCTTCCGGGTGGCACGGCAGCAGCAGGTCTTCCCGAGCAGTGGGGGTGAGCAGTCCGTCTCTCCCTGCGGCCGGCAGCTTAAAGCCTGCAGCAGGCGGTGGGGGTGAGCAGTCCGTCTCTCTGTGTGGCCGGTGGGTTAAAGCCTGCGGCTCCTCCTCCTCCACACCGCTCCCCCTGAGCAGCACAGCTCTCACCTGCGCTGGAGCGGGGGGTGGAGCAGCGCGTGCTGAGCGCTTGCCGGCCAGGTGGTGCCACATGGTGCAGGCAGGCCAGCAGCGTCCTGGGTGTCAGGCACACACACATTCGCTCTATAAGACGCACAGACATTTCCCCTTATTTTTGAGGGGGAAAAAGGTGCGTCTTATAGAGTGAAAAATGCGGTAAGTTCAAATTAACATTTATATAAAACTTAACCTTTGAAATTTGGGGAAAATAGGCAAAGTAAACACAAAAGAAAGAAAATTTGACAATATTGTTGACCAAATGGTCTGTGTCCTGGTGCATATATGCCCTAAATGCACAAGGGGAAGGTTTTCTTTTAAATGATTTATTCTTGAGAATAACTAGCAGCCAATGAACTGCTCCAGACGGTGCACCTAAGCAGTTCTCAGTTGGCCCTTTTATACACTGATCACTAAAGATTACATGTCGCATGGTTAGCACTTTCCAAAAGGTTAGAGAAGTAAAAAGTTACAATGGAGTGTTCTTTCCCACTTGTATACCATAGAAGATGCTCTGAAGGAGGGGATGCTATCACACAAAAGAGGAGGACGGGGTGGCCTGGTGTAAACTGCTCTTCCTTTGAGCTGCTGTTATCTGTCAAGTGCCAACTAATGTTCTCTGGAATAGTACCGGTTAGTGTCTGCTACATTTCAAGGGTGCACACATGCTGATTTCTAGAAAAGAAGATTTTTCTCTGGCCTAGCTACATGTCAATGATTGCATGAGTTTACCTATGAAAGTTATCCCTATGATTCGTTCAGCAATATGTTCTGTGACTGGAGTTATATATCATTCTTGAACTACTTCTGCCCTCATCAAAATATCTGCCTTTTTTCACTTTTTCATGGACTGAGCTCTTCAGGCTTTACATACTCATTTTCCTGGTTCCTATTAATGCCACCACTGGTTGGTTGCTCTACATACTTGTCTTATCACAACAGCAGATGATCATTCCTGTGCAAGCCCTGATCTACAGCTGACAAAGGCTTTTTTGTGTGCATAAAAAATGGCCAGCATGCACTCTTAAAGTCCTGTCCTCAGTCAAGCCTGCAGGGACAAGGAAATTGTTTAGCCCAGGAATATTAGAAAAACTGCATTTGCTACCAGTAACCAAGATTTAAGAGAGGCATTTCTATTTTTTTTATTTTTATTTTTATTTTTATTTTTTTGAATGGGGCTGCAGGAACTGCACAGAAACAGAAGCTACCAAATGATTTGGAGCTGGACAGACCAGACCCTGCAATTGTCATGCTGTGTTAGTTTGAACCTTGACAAAAGTCTGTATGTTGTCAGTATACGATTTTCATAATATCTTGTGCAGCATACTTAACAAATGATTTAAAGGAAACCGGTGTGACCTGGTGGCTAGGGTATTTCACTGGGAGTTGGCCTCTAATCTGGAATAAGCTATGGAGCTCCCTCAATGACTTAGGACCAGGCATGGATTAAACCTAACCCATCCTCTCAGTTAAAATGGAGGAGGACCACATAAGTTGCTCCAGATTCCTTGCAAGAGAAAAAGAAAGTAAGCATTCAAGAAGAGCCGCCAAGACACTGCAGGCCTGGTTCTACTCCAAGGTGGCTCCCTCACGCAACTGATCTGGGTACCCTACAAAGTTTGCGCATCGTTACATTTTAATGGAATCTTACCTCTTTTTTGGCATTACCAGGGAACACGATGGCACTTGCAGGAATTTCTGCCCCAAGTGCCAAAACAACCAGGCCAAGCTTGGTTTCAGTGTTCCTTGACTTGGGGAAGAAAGCATCGTTTACTGCACTGCCTCAGGTCTCATTTCCGGTTTCAAAGAAATTCCGTGTTAATGGTTAAGGCAATGTCTTATTTAGATCTACCACCAGATGGCACCCTCACCTCTCACTTTGCCAAGTGGCGCAAAACCACAGTAACAGACCTGAAAATGTGGAGAAAAGAAGGGTGGGTGTGAAGGATCAGTGCTGGATACCTAAACGAGATGGGGCTTCGACCTATAGGGCAAACAATTGCACAGACCAGTATGTGTGTCCTGGTGGTTAGAGTGCTGAACTGGGAGTTGGGAGATTTGGATTCCCAGTCCCACACAGTCATGGCGCTTACTTGGGTGACTTTGGGCCACACTAAACTATTTCACAAGGTTGTTCTGATAAAATGGAGAGGGTGAGAAACTTGTAAGCCTACTTGAGTTTCTTGCAAGAGAAAGAAAGGTGATGCATGAATATAATCATAAAATTACAATACGCTAATAATCATGCAAATAGATGTGCATAATTAGAAATAATTACTATGATTAAAATTTTACAGTGAGCAATCTAATTCTTGCTTGCTTTCAGGACAGAACTGTGGGGAAATTCTGTTCGTGCAACACACTGGGTCTTAGTGGAACCTTTGCCCTCATCCCTCATTCAACCGCTGGAGAGACAGATGGAGGCCACGGCGTATTTTATGGTCCTTGCAACCAAATGTATGTATTTATTATTTACTTATTTATTTATTAAAACGTTTTTATGCCACCCCATTTGCCGAAGCCTCGGGGCGGCTTACAATAAATTAAATAATTATAATCATAAATTAAAAATGTAAACATTAGGATAAAATACAAACATACAATAGAAAATAAGCCGCCCTGGCCAGATAAAATTCAATAATATTAACATTTAAAATGCCGCTTAAATATGTATGTATGTATTCATTTATTAAAAGCATCTGTATGCCATCCTATTATACAAGATCTCAGGACGGCTTACAATATTTAAATTTGTATGACATGACCTCTCACTAATACTATCATTATTATATGTACGGACAATGGGAGCTTGCTTGCTAACAGCACCATAGTGTTGCTTATTCATGTTTATCTAAATTCCATCCAAACTGACCATGGACTAAAAAACCATGAATCCAGTGGGTTACAGGTTCTAATGTCAGGTCACAGCTGGGCAACAAAAATGAGGAGGGCGAATCCATTGGAACCATGTCTCACTTAAGTTCGGATAATTCAGGGTAGCCATCATCCCACAAAGTGGGGTAACTGGCATCATCCTACCTCAAAATCCATGCTGTAATGTACTCATCTACTGACTAGTCCTTCAAAGACTTTGTCACAGTGCCTAGTCTAAAACATCCCCACATTTCAATCACCTGATTTTTACAGGTTTTGTTTCTATAAACCAAAGCATAACCAGGGAACAAAACTACCCCAGAATAGTTGTATGGGTTTTGTACCCCAAGCAATAGGCCTCAAACAAGATCAAAAGAA